GGATAGGTACTGTCTTTTGGTATAGCATACACATTACCATGAAAATTAGTTTTTGGAACAAAATGCCTGTTGTTAATCAAGAACTTGATGTGAAATATTGTCCATGCATGTGTGCTACTTATAGCCAATGGCTTTTGAGAAGCTAATGATGTTATGATATGCCACGATAGGAGTGTAAACGAGTCTAATCGAACCGAACACCTTACTATTTTAACTTGTTTGATTATTTTAACGAATTCAAAATTTTGTTTAAACTTTACTTGTTTATTTGTCTAATCGAATTTAAACGAGCATTTTATCGAATTTAAAAGTTATCGAACATAAAATGCATTCAAGTTTGAATTGACTCGTTGGCAAGCAAAACTCGAACGAATTCTTACCAAGTCGAGTTAAATTTGAATATCGAATAGATTAATTGATTTTTCAACCCTAACACTTGCCATGGAATGTCCATCAATTTGACTTTGGGCTATATAATCCAAATCCATATAATTAAGCCATTTGTAGAATTGTGGATAGTTTCCAACTTTTCAGCCCAATTCATGGGATTTGGTCAGCAACACAGTGCTCTTGTGTTTCATCATGATATAATTGATTAATTTACATAGAGGCAGCTTAGATATTTTTTTTTTAGTGGATTCATGATTGCTTTTGCGGCAATCAGTCTGCATTTTGAAGTCAACGGCCATTTCATAGGAAAGCAACAAAATGTCAGCCTCAGCAAATAGTGTCGGCGTGTGGTCCATGATCGTACCAGCAATGTTTCTTCTGTATCAAATTTGTGGGCCCAATTATTGGGCCTAGTAAGCCCAACCTGTAGACTACAATGACAGCATAGTGAATAAGGTGCATGAATTCAGCCTTTTTAGGGAGGTTATCGGAACCAGGAAATGACATTTTTTCTTTTTTTAAGGAAATGACATTAATGACATTGAACTCGAACAAATTACTCCCTGCATTTATTTGTTCCGGAGGTTTTCATTCGGCACCCGTTAAATGGGCTCCAGATATTATTTGTTTGTAAAATTTAGTTAATTTGAGAAAATATCTAAATACAAGATGTAATAATTTTCATCGTGTATATTCAAATGATAAGTTATATTTAGATATGCTAATGGATGTTCATTAGAAAATTACAACAAAAAAAAAGAGTTCATCATGTATTTAGTCTATTAAGTAGATTTTTTTATAGATTGATTTTCTGAACCCTCAACCTAGGAATACCGTTTTAGTACACATATTTTTCTTCTCTCATGCATGCGCTGACGTTTGTTTTCTATTCAATTTGTAGATTTTCTCGAGTTGAAATGACTTTTTTATCATACCGACTTTTGGTCCTTTATTTAATTAGTGCTCATCAAATACCAGTTAGACAAATTGATAAGTGAATTCTAAATGTGATAACTTATTCATAAAAAATTAGATCCAATAAGGACTTAAGGTCACTTTTTTTCTTTTTCTTTTTTTTTTATTTGCCTTCTTCCTCAAAAATAGATCTACCGCTGCATCTATCCATCATGCCAGACCATACCCGATTCAAAACCATACCAAACTGTGAAGAGCAGAGATCCAAACTAGGGAAGGGTGGGTTGTATACTTGTTCAAAGTGTAGGGTAGAGGGGGAGAAAATTCTCAGCATCGCAAGCCTGACCTGACACACAAATCAGTATTCAATGGCACCCATACATACAAGGCCAGCTAAATTTCATAGTAGGAAGAAAAGGGGACACGCATGAATCAAAGAAAGTGTGCCACTCATTGTTGATTGTACTGCATTGTGATCTTGACTTTCCCAACCTTAGGCCTTGTTTGGATTGCTTGTTTCCGTCGGAAAATATTGTCGTTTTCCGTGATCACATTTCCCTATCGTCTTTTTCCCTCACATATATCAAATCGCTACAGTAATTTTTCCATGAAAAATGACGGAAAATGCAATCCAAACACAACCTTAGTCATGTTCATTGTCAACACAAAATTATGATCTTGTAGCATCTTCAGGTTGCCATATTTTGCCATAAACACTTGTCGATCCCACTTTGCCGTCGTTTCGAGAGGGGTGACGCGGTCGTGGTGCCGGCCCTACCCCGTTTTGATTTTGAACATTTGTCTTGGAGGCTTAAGAAATTGGAGGAATTCAAGGAACCACTTTTCAGTCAATTGATTCATAACGGGATGAATGAATCAGTGACCGACACTCAATTTTTGGATAATTATAGTTGATTGATTCCAAGACGTAATTGAAATTTTAATTAATTAGTTATGTCTTAGATAGACACAAACACTACCAATATATCAATCAATCAATAATCGCTGATAAGAATTTTCTGTGGTCTCTCTCTCGTGAATTTTGCTTTATTTTATTTTTCTGATAGAGTCTCTTTCAAAAAAAATTTTAGTGAGAATTTTGTTTTCTTGAGAGTTTCTAGTGAGAATTTTCCAAGTTTCGATTTGTGTTTTTTTTTCTTATTTTGTTGTTAAATCTGAATTCATTTGAGACCTTATTATTAGATCTAGTATTTTTTTGAGTCTTGGATCTATCTCTACGCATCTCATCCTTATTATTGGAGTTTAAAGCCGTGTTGATTAGCAGATCTAACATTTGTAACATGCACAGAATGGAGTTGCAACAATTTATCTCATTGAAAAGTAATTTAAAATTTTCTTTATTTTTCATATTTGTTCAAATTTTTCTAGATCTATTGTATCTCTTAAATTACATATATACTTATTTAATCTGCCATTTAAACGGTGATATAAATCAAATTGTATTGGACGAATTTCAACGATCCATGTTATACTCATAACCAACAACAGCTGCATCAATTTTAATATGTGATTAGAAAAGGGGGATGAAAGAGATGGTTCATGTGAAATTGAAGGATTGATAGTTCTAAACTTCAATGGTTTATTTGTCAAGACAAGATTTGAGATAGTTTTCTCCATTTGACATTTACAAGTATAGGAAACAGAAATATATAATAGTTTATTAATTAAAGGTTTTATTGGTTAATTTATTTTAAAACCCTAGAAACTTCCAAGAAACTGACCCAAAAAATTGTCGGGACTTAAGGAATTCTATGAGTTGTAAACTCTTGGTAGAAAGAACACATTTGAATTGTAGGTTTTGACAAGTGACAAGTAATACATTAATTAGCCAAGCCAAATACTACTGGCATGACAAATCGGTTCGTGCGATCGAGTTTTAATTCCAAAAGTAACTGAATTTTAGTTTGGCACGCACTGGAAAGTAGGGGTGGCAATTCGGGTCCAAATCAGGTTGGCGGGTCGGGTTCGGGTCAACCCGTCAGAAAATCTGTTGACCCGAACCCGACCCGCCAACCCGTGACGGGTCAGGTATGCTGACCCGAACCCGAAAATTTCAGGTTGACAGGTTGGCGGGTCGACCCGAAATGACCCGAAACTTAATTTTAATTTATTAATTTATCACTGTAATTTCTAATAAAATCAATTTCTCACAAAACTAATTACATAATCAAGTAATAAAAATTTAAATAAATAATTCCAAACCAAATCTAAAATAAATTAAACACCGTAAAAGTATTTTATCCCAAACAAAATATAAAATAAATTAAAACAGTATAAAAGTAAAAAATAATATAATATATTATTTGTTCAAATATAATAATTTCAACTTCACACAAATTAAATAAATTCATTTAGGATTAAGTAATTAATGCCTTTGAAAAAAAGAATAACTTAGTTTAGTTAGATAAAATTATTTTTATGTTTATTAAATTATTTTTAATTCGTAAACGGGTCATATCGGGTCATATCAGGTCACCACGGGTTGACCCGAAATCGACCTGTTTTCTTTTCGGGTTCATCGGGTCCAACCCGATTCTGACCCGAATTCCCGAAACCTCAACCCAAACCCATTAATTTCGTGTTAGATTCGTGTCGTGTTTTCAGGTCGTGTCGAAAATTGCCACCCCTAGTGGAAAGCGTCATAATCGTAGTTTAATTCTTTTAAATGCATGGTTTTGGTTGGCTGTTTAGGACGGAAAAGACATTTGCTTCATGATTTGGTTTAAGAAATCGTGAACTTAGCACCTTCAATTTGAAAACCCTTCTTTAAATTTCTCTCTATTTTCTTTTTCTTTCCCCTTTTTTTTTTCTCTCTTTCTTGTTTAGATAAGAAGCAAGAATAGTATGCATAAATGCCAATAGAGTTTTTTGGATTTAGCAAGAATGACGTGAAAACTAAGGCCTCGTTATTTCATATTTTGGACATACCACCACCAGCTTAACTATTTCCTGGTTTTGGTTTTGAGGAAGGGATATTTTTAGATTCCAATTTAAGACCTAGCTAGTCTGAGAGTTTAAAAGAGAAAAGAAAAAAAAAGTTAAAATTATGGGAGCAAAAGAAAGGAAAATACAGTCAATGATTTTGTTTATGGAGTTTTGAGATCTTAGCATCACGAAAACCTTTTTCTCTCCATTTCTCTTCAATAATGAGCTTTTCTTTTTTAATGAAGTTCGGACACACGAATATAAATTCGATAGTTGATAGTGGTCATATAATATAAACTCAAATGTACATAGAATACAAAAGAAAGTAAAATGAAGATTTGTATACAATTTTTTTTTAACAACAACGACATAAATAATAAATTTCCAAGGAATTGCCCCAAATTTTCTTTTTTTTTTAAAAAAAAAAAATTAGATAAAAGCATAATTTCATTACAATGTTTGCTCTGCTAGTAGAAAAAACACGAAATATGACACAAATACATACATGTCTAAAAATCAATGAATATAATAGATCAGAAGTAACAGTCAAACCAAAAAAGACATGATGAACTTAATTAACACAACATCTTCTTTTCCTGCCTAAACTTCCAATGTAGCCTGATTGAATTGGCTGAAACCCTTAATGATTCGGTAATGTAAAGTTGTTTTCAGTATGATATTCTATACATGTTTTCATCAAAATCTTAGAGAGACCACATATTCATCGATCCGTCCAAGTTCATGAACTTATCCCTCCTTTTTTATAAAGTCCACCCACCGCCAAGCTTGTGCTATCCATTGATTCCATGAATTTTCACGCAGACTCATTGCTTCGATTCCCTTCCAGTCCACTATTGATGATTAGCATGCAAATCATATCGTACACTAGTTGTGGCAAACTCGTGAAGGACAACCTCTTTAGTCTTTAGATTCATAGCCCCTTTCCCTTCGTGGCTTCATGATCATCTTGGTCACATTTTCGGGCATTCTGGTAAAGCTACACCATCACTAGCCCAGCCATCTCTGCCAGTTTACAGGTCTCATTTCTCAAGTGTTTTATCATTCATTTTTGACTAATTTAATGCTTTGTGCCACGTTTTCTTTAAACTCAAGAAGGAGATAAGCCCATTACTTTGTGGGTTGGTGTTGTGTGTTAATATACATACAAGTCCAAGAAACTGAGTACTCTGCTGATATGAAATGTAGAGAATACCAAGAAGTGGTTATTATAATTTATCGAAAAATGATTCCTCGAAAAAGAATGGTTTAGAAATCTAATACTACTGCTCGCGCTTGTGATATGTGGCTAGCTAATCAAGATTTGATGCTGGTTTTAGAGTCAAGGCTGTAGATAAACGATAAGTATGATAAACCAAATGTTGACAGCTAGAAGGGAAAAAGATGATTATGGAAAAACGAGCTCTCATGGGATAAGGAGCAAGTAGGATATGTATAGTATTACCATATGATCACGACAAACTAACATAGACTAGAATTGCTCCTTGGTTGCTAGGTTTTGTGCCGCCCACTAATATTACTCATAATTATCTTCACCCAAAAGCCCGAAACCACCTCGTAATTGAGGGTTTGTCTCCAATTTAACAGCACAAGGTGATCATTCTACTCTATCACATGTCTTTTCTTTCTTCAGGTAACATCATTGAGCTCAAGGGTCCAACTTCATTTGTTCAGAGACAAATGCTACCTCTGTGGTTGGTTGATTTAATTGGAAGATGGTGATCTCCAAATGGGAATTTTCATCCTCCCCATCAATTATCCTCAATGATGCTATAGAATTGTTGTGATTGGGACTCCCAACAGTGAGTCCAACAACCTGAGTCAAAAACTGTGGGTTGCGTTGCAACAAGCCCAACCAGGAAAATCTGAAAACCACAAGTGGATTTGTAATGGATTCTGCTTAACGTAGTAACTACTCAATTAGTATGTATGTATCTGTCATAATTGACTATTGATCATGTATATGTATATGTAAAATTACTAATGAATTTGGTTTGTATGTATCGCCCGTTTGTTGTTTTTGACTTTTGCCCAACTAAAAGTACTTGAGCTGTTCAATAGCATCTCATGAAGTGTTTGTTCTCGATTGATTATTTTAACTAATCATGGAATCAATTTTTGTGAAGTTTTCAATTGCTTTTTTATTATAGATTTTTTAATGATCAAAAAATTAAAATTATAAATTTTGATTTTAGATAATCATTTTTGTAATATTTTTTGATTACTTTTGTGTTTTGATTATAGATTTTTTTAATGACAAACTCAAAAAGCAACTTTTACTGATTTTGATTATTCTCTATAAGGCATGTTCTCAACTGATTCTAATTTTGTAAAAAACTGATTTATAAAATTGATTCTTAAAATTAGATTTGTCAAATTAACTCATGTGTTCTTGTTTATCAGATGGAATCCTCTGTCCATTATATCTGTCCACTTTTCTGTCCAATACAAAATTACTATGTAGTTCCACTTATTAATACTGCTGATGTGGCACATAACATTGAATGCATATTTAGGGAGTGTTTAGTAAATGGGTTTCAAATTCGATTTTAGCATGAACGGCCTGCTTTCTGAATCAACATGACTGCACGTAACTACAACTCTGACAAACTCAAGGATTTCATCCTCAAATGCTTGTCTAATCTCATCTGAATCAAGCCGCGTGGAATTCCAAAATAGAAGACTATGGGTACAATTAGTTATAAACAAACATCATTTATGGGTATTATTGAATTTGAAACCTATTTATCAAACACCTCCTAAATATGCATTTAATGTTATGTGCCACATCAACAATATTAGTAAATGAAACTACGTAGTTTTGCATTGGATAGGAAAATGGACAGGGGATCCCGTCTTAAAGAGTAATCTAATCTTTAGGTAATTTAGTAATTATGTTGAAATTTAAAGGCTAATTTAATCTACATGAAAAAGTGAAGCACTCCAAAACCTACTTCTGTTTTTCATCCGTTTTGGGTTCAAAAAATCTAAAATAGGTTGAGAACACAACAAAATAGCTTTTCGAAAATCAAAAGTTAAAATCAGGCTTTCAAAAATTAGTTGAGAAGAGACTCATAATCAATTTCTATAATCATATTTTGTAAAATCTAAAACAACTGAGAACAAGGCCGCAATCTTCATCTATAATAATACACTTTTCTCTAACTTGCAAGTGAATATAAAATAAATTCATAGTGCATTTCGTGTTCCTTGATCTCTTCTGGTCTTTCTCGGTTTAAGAATTCTTCCATTGACCATTTTTCCTCCCAATTTTTTGCATTCTAACACAAAATTGACTTGAGGGCCTTAAAGCCTTTCAAAGCTCATAAAACAGTATGCACTTTGGACTATAAAAGCTTCGTATATATCACGAAAGGTGCTATCACATCTTTCAAACCCTGTGAAAGTATTTCTAGTGAATAGGAGGCTACCATCCCCTAGCCCTTGACGGCAAATTCTCTATTAAATTTTGTGGGAGGAGTAGTTGTATCATGGATGTGTCCAGGGACCAGGCTAATTTGTAGGTGGAGAAGGTTCATGAATTTGACACAAATGCATCATTCACTCTTTTTTGTGCAGATTAAGCAATTGCAGCAGAAGCAACGCAGCATAACGGTTGATATTTGGAAACATATGCAATGCATTTATTGCCGGGTTCAATAACTCCAAACCTTTTCCTGAAAAATTCGATGTAGATTTTTGATGATACGTGACAGAGATAGCTGGAGGTTGTTCAATGTGGCTGGATCACGTTACTTGTACAATTAATTTCCTTCCTTTGTAAGCCTAAAAAACGTAATACGTACTAAAGGCAATACCTTGTATTTGCTACTCCACCCGATCAAACGTACTATTATTGTTTTTGCCAACAGAAAAATGAGAGATTTAGACCCTTCCATTCATGTTATCTGTCCTTGCCGCTGCCTGCCTCTCAACATGACGTACAGCTGTCTGTAGAAAAATTGTTTTGATCCGGTTAAGATTATATACCAACTGAAATACTAGTGCTGTGTTGCAATAGATGCAAAAATTAGCTTCATTCGGATTGAAGATTATTTAGCTACAAAAAAAATTTCACGTTTTTCGTCTGCACATTTTTTAATTTTCATTTTATCTTATCTTATGCATGTCAAACCGCTATCTTTTTGCTTCACGTACGTCAAATCGTTATGATGTATTTTTCTACAAAACTTCAGAAAACAGCAATCGAAAAAATAGTAAAACTATTTTCACAATAAACTCAACAATATCTCAAGTCAAATGCCAATTTCTTCTGTCCCCCCCCCCCTCTAATCATCTTAGTTATCAGAAACTTCAGCATGGAATGGTAAACCGCAACCTACACAATTGACCTAAAAGTCAGTGTCCAATCATAAGGTCTTGTCTAAGCCAACGAGACCTTTATGCAACTATGTGCATGTACTGTGAAAAGAATATGCTTTACATTTCCATTCACTTACCCAAGTAATTGTAATTACTCCCTGGTGGAGCCTTTTCTACTAAATTACTTTTGCTAAACCAGTTGCAGTAGTTTTGGTTTTTTTTTTTTTTAAAATACAAAATATTAGGGAAAGATTAACTAGGTTCCAACCATAAATACATAAAAATATGGGGGGATTATGCATTTCTTTGTCGTCTGCTGCAAATAAATTGTTCCTAGCGGTTGCCGCAGCAAAGAAATTAAGAATATGGAAATGACTTTTTCCCTTTATTATTTTCTGGAAACCCCCAGTCAAAGGCAATAATGTCCTAATTGACATTATGCTGTGGAGTAATTAATTGGGAAGACAATTACATAGTAATACGAATGCATACTCCCAATAATGTAGTATGTTTTAGATATAGGACCTTGGACCGAATCTATTTCGGTCTGTATTTTTAGAACAATTATATATCAATTCTGGGACAGCCCGACAATCAGTAGATAATGTTATATCTTGTCCTGACCTTTTGAGGAATTGCTGAATGGCCTCACTACTATTTTCAGTAGTTGGAAGATCTAGTGTTATTGAACGATTAACTTCTCAGCCTGATGCAATATTATTATTTCAATTTTAGTTGTACTTTGCTAGATTTTTGTCACAAATCAGCATTTGCGTACACGGGTCTATTTGTACCCACAACCTTTCTTTCTTTTTTGGGAAACCACACTTGCCAATCCTTTTCCCTCAATTCTTCTTGGAAATTAACTGGCTTAGCGAGGAGCTTTGCCAAATGAACATTTACTGCTACTATTGATGATCCCCCTTTACCATTAGGGGTATAGACAAGTCTAATCAAACCAACATTTTGGTGTTCAAGTGTGTTTTATTATTTTAACGAATTTAAAATTTTATTCAAACTTAACTTGTTTATTTGTCGAATCGATTTTGAATAAGTTTTTTTTTTTATTTATTGAACTTGAATGTTTTATGAAACATAAAATAGTATTCAAGTTTGACTAGTTGATAAACCTCTTACCAATTCGAGTTCAGTTTGACTGTCGAGTAATTTGGTTCATCTTGTACTCCTACTTACCATCTCATTACGGTGTTAACAGTTATAATAGCAATTAATTCAATCAATGCATGTGTAGCCCGCATAACAAATTATTATCTAAATTAATCGTAAGACCGCTATTCCTTCCATCAAATGACCCCATATGAATATGATGGTAACGGTTCAAGATCTTTTCTCCTTGTTCTGTTCTCTAATGGAAACGAGAAAATAGATGGGAGGTTTTCGGGACCCAAGCAAGCCTGTTGAACTCTTTTCTTTTCATGGAAAGGACCGAACTAATTTAGGTAAATTTCCCCTTAGTCCATCTATCCAGCTTGGACCACATGCTATATTTCCTTCTACTTCCTTTCTTTGATCCGTGCCCTTGTCTAACCTTGAAGGTATCAAGAGTGGAAGAATTTTGTTTGCTACTCTTTCCTAGAATAACGGTTCAAGGTTAAAATGGTTAATTAGGGTAAATTATACCAACCTCCTCTCTCATTTATTTGAAAACTAAAGGCCTTCCTTCTTCATTTAATAATTAAATAAATGAAACCACCGTCCTAATTTGTTAGAGCAAATCGGAAAGCTTTCCCACGGTTGGCTTTTTAAACGTTGTTAATTGACATCTCACAAGTATCTCCGTATGTTTCCTAAAATGCCTTTTAGTGAGAGTAAGACAGTAATTACTAGCATTTTATCTATACCAAAATTTGTTATTAGCCATTGCATTTAATCTTAAATATAGAGTGAGATTAGACTAAAACCCCATAAATTTAAGTTATGGCTTTCCGTAGGTTAATGGAACAAGTATAGGGGTGCGTTTGATAAAATTGAAATTTGAATCAATTAAGTTGTTGAATTGTTAAGTATTAAATCTAATACATTTGAGTGCATATCACATTCAGTGATAAGTACCTAGCTTATCACTTAATTTCGAGAGCAAGTTTTGTCTAGAAAATTCAGTGCCATTTAATTAATTTAGATGTTCAATTTTTTGTTGTCAAACTATATGAATATATTAAGATCTGAATCCATTAAATTTAAGGGTTAAACTAGGTTATCAAACATGACCCAAAGCTAACTTACCTAGGCCGGCTCCTTCTAAATAATAAATATTATTCGTTTTACAAAAAAGTGGTGCTAGAATAACCATAAGAAATCAATTGTTCTATTTAGTTAGTTAGAGAGAAGCTTTTTCTAAGTTCATTTCACTTTTGAATTGTATTTTGGCCGTGATAATTACTATTAGAGAAAATGTCTCGCATTTGGCCGTGCATTTTCAAGATAATAATCAACGATGATTCAAGTCAAATTCTATAATGTGTCACAAGAGAATAAAATGCATGGATTTTTAGGAAAAATAAAAACAGGAAACATCACAAAGACCCACAAAAAAAAAAAGAAAGAAAATAATTAACAAGAGTTGAAATAAAGAGAAAGTTAAAATCAAGGGTTAACTTATCCTTATGCACATTTCAATAACCACGGCGTATGGAGCGAGCACACATGAAGGGGACGTTTTTATTATTGAAGGGAGGTCCTCGCTTTCCTAAAAATCAAAAGGGCGGTTAGAAATTTTCTTTTGCACCACACCCTAGTCTAAAGTTTTGTAAAAAGCATAAAAGCTTTCTACAAAAACCATGATATGAACTTTTAGATCTTTTTATTTGTTAGATGGAATATAGTGCAATTGCAGTGCAGTATAATCGATTGAATAAAAAAAATGGTATAATGCATTGTCAAATCAGAGAAAAATCAGAAGAGCTTTCGATCTTGACTTAGAATAAACGCATTATTATGATTTTAGCATAATAAAGAAAAGAAACATCGCCAAATTTATCTCATTTTATTTGTGACTTTCAAAGGAACAGTTTAGAATGAAATTTGTTAAATCACATTGAAGAAATGTGTAGGATCGCCATTTTCTAAAATATAAATCAATTAAAGGAGGGAACAAATTGACCAGGTTGTAAAACATCAACAAAAAATGAATCATTTAGGCGGAGGAAATTCGCACGCTCTTTAGTCCGTAGCCGGTGGCGGGTTACCAATCTCCCTCATATGATACACGTGCGATATCGCTACGCGCTTACCCATGAGCGTAGTGTTTTCTTCGACCTGACCACGTGGCTGGTTATAAATCCACTTAGATAACCTTCAAGAATGGTTAATTGCTCCAACGCTCCCAATCTTTTGCAGATTGTTACAAAAGTTGCTTGGAATTTATCCGCTTTTAATAAACGGAGGTGATACGTAGAAAAAAATTATGGAAACAGAATTACTTGCATCAAGGCAAAGAAAATTTTTAGGTGGATGTGGTCATCTTATACGTAATGCATATAATTTTTGAACAGCAAGTAATAAGTAATTATTGAACCGTAGGCAATAAGTTCAACCCATAAAGATATTAAAGTAGATTAAAATATAATCTTGTGAATGACTTGTCAATGATTACGATGTTTAAAAATTTGTAAATGCTTTATATATATCCTTGTAGCATTTGATTTTGCTACCTCAAGATTTTAAAAATCCTTTTATATCATTTTAATATATTAAAAAATTTCACATATACCCCTGCAAATATTATGCTTCATCCTCCAGTTTTTTTTTTTTTTTAAGAATATAAGAATGCCCCTTAAGTATACATCTTCATATATCTCTCTCCCCAAGTCACAAGGTCTAGTTATGCCAATGCTTCTAGTATGGTTTATAACATACCTAATCTGTTTTACAAATAGAATATCCTCAAAGTTTCTTGGAATATTATGTTGTAATTAACCAGTAAGTCAAGAATTGATGAAACATATATTATAATTATATGGAATAACTCATTTATATGCTAATTCATAAGGCCAAATGGGCATCTAATTTAATTAAGAATACAATAAACAATTTGCTCAACTGATTAACCAAAATATGAAGAAATTTGCTCAATCATACTTGCTAGATTGTTAAATTCGTAAAAACATTAAGTGCATGGAAAAATAGGAATCACACTAATTCCAACTATGGGATCGAGAAAGATATCAAAAAATGTAACAAAAAGTTTAAATAAGAAAAAAGTAGCAAGATAGTGAATAATATCCTTATAATTTATTAGGGCAACAAATAAGTATTGCTCGCTACTCACTTGAATTAATAAGAATGGAGATATAAGAATAACGATAATGATAGGTTACTTTGACAAATAGAGATTAAATAGGCATAAAAGTGTCATCCTTCCTTCTCAACAATATATAACATGTGTAATAAGGTTAGTTTATATATATGATGTGCTATTAGAAAGTCAACACTTTCCACTCACAACAAAAATCTTATTTTGCTTCAATTCACATTTAAGTGCTTTGTCTAAAAAAAAAAAAAAGTGCTTTGTCTATGTCACCTATTTGTTTATGGTACCTTATCTCACAAATGAAAACCAATCGTGGTTTTATTTTAAATGTTATAAGATGAAAAAATTAGGTCACAAAAATTTGTTGTTTTTTTAAATAGACATGAAAGCAAACAAAATAAGATTATCTTCACCAATGTATTAAAATCATTAATATTGCGTAGAACTCCACGTAAATATTTAGACAAACATTGACGGGAGGAAAATTAGAAACAAAAACAAATCCTCATATAACATAATTAATGATTATTTCAGTTTTAGGGATGATATAAATCAAAAGTTTCCTTCTTTTGCAAGGTCATTAAATTGGGAGGAAAATTAGAAAGAAAAACAAATCCTCATATAACATAATAAGGATTATTTGAGTTTTAGGGCTGATATAAATCACAAGTTTCCTTCTTTTGCAAGGTCGTTAAACTTGCAAACTAGTAGATCTAGTTCCCTTATTCTATTTTAGATATAACTAGTGGAAGTAAAAGGCGCAAATCCATTTTAAGCTTTCTAGAACTTCAAAAGCCGAAACCATCCCCTTCAATGAAAAACTCCATGAACCAATTTGCGCAGTTTCTCAAAATACTAGGACCTAACTGCCTCATTCTGCGAAAGGTGGAGGGGGTACACACAATTTTCCCTTCAAGAGGAAACGTACAATGAATGAATAGTGAGAAAACGAGTAAATAAGGTACTCTACAGCTCCACAGAGAAATCAATACAAAAATTAAATAAAACAGTTATGAAATCCTTAATAATAGTAATACTACTTGTACTACTTTATTGGGAGTATGAAGCAGACGTTTGGAAGCAAAAGTGCGTCTAGGTTCTCTTCATGTACTGCAGTCTGGGTCCCATTATCCCCCCTCTTCCTTCGTTTTCTTTGCTTAAAATCCCACAACTCTCCCCAAAAATCCCCACCTCACTAGATTTCCTTCTTACCAAACAAGCGGCGCAAACAAACCATTTTCTCCGCTTGCACAAAACAGAAAGAAACTTCTGTTTTTGAAACTTGAGCTGAAAACACACAGTTCACATACAAAAAAAAAAAAAACGCAATGAGGGCCCTCAGCTTCGCCGAGAAATTTCTCTGTTGAAGGGCGAGTCTGTGTGTTATTCGTGTCTGGTGGAGCATGAAAGAATTCTGAGTGGGAAAAAAGGTGGAAGGAAAACCCGGTTTTGTCCCTCGGGAAACTAGCAATGAATCAGCCGTTACACACAGTGGAGGTGTGAGGCCATTTGGAGGGTCTGAAAAAGGGAAAAACTTTGAAACAAAACCGGGTTTTTTTTCTTGCGGTCTTTTCATCTGTGGATCATTGGGTTTAATGGGTTTCGGCTGTTTTCTTTGAATAGCGGTGATGAAACCAATGCAGGCTGAAAATTTTTCAGTTCAGTTGCAGTTTCTGGAAAAAAGTTGAACTGCCAAAACATTTGGAGCTTTATCTGAGTTCATATGCTTTTGCATGTGATTAAGAGATAAGATCTGATAGTTATTTTGGCTTGGATTGTCATGGGTATTATTCTCAAGAAAACATGTGAGATGTTCAGATAAAGGTAAATTTTCCAACTCTGCCTGCATTTCTTTCTGGGAATTTTATTTTCTATAGGTCAATGCTTATATTGGTTCATTCCCTTGTGGATTTGTTTTTCTACGTTTACTTATTTACTGGCTTTAATTTTTATCACAGAAGTTCAAATTTTTAAGGGTCAAATTGTGGCTGCATTTCTGGATTGCTTAAAAGAGATGTTTTTCTGGGCCAAGATTTGTTTTGATAACGTCTTGTTAATGGATTTTTTGTTTTTATTTAAAAAAAAAAGAAGTTTCAGGGTGAAGCTCATATTCGTTTAAATTAGTTTCTGTTATATTCTTCTTCTAGTTTTCATATCACCAGTTAATAATTTGCCTGCATTTTCTACTTCATTCTTTTAGTTTTTTCATATTCTTTTTTAATTTCTTGAAAGAGATGTACATGGGCCTTGATTGATTTCTTTCAGTTTCTTGTTAATAGGTTTTGTCTGTTGTTGCAATATAAATTCACTCTTTACCTATTAGTTGGCTTTCTAGATGGTTATGTGCCCCATTTAGTAATTTTACTGTGGCTTCTTGTTCTTGGTGTTTTTGGCTACTGTATTAGTTGTTTTATGGTATATTTTCTTTCCTTTAGTGATAGAGGATGATATCCTTGAATTGTTTTAAAGCTCAGATTCACATATATTTGAGAATCCTCAGTTAAAGAATTCTATTGAAGATACAATTAGAATTAATAAGAGGATTTGGTTACTTCTTGATCTGTTTGGCTCAGCTAAATTTTTGCAATGACCTTGATTATACAAATTTTGGTATAGAAATATTGAGGTGCATGCACCTACGTTCTTCTTGCTTTCTTTTGCCATTTTTTTAATTTGGTTGCTAAAGCTAACAGTGATGTGTTTCCAATAATTTATCGGCAAGTGGCTTCTACAGTACTTTTGTAGATTTTTATTTTCTTGAGAAATTTTATGAATTAGAAATGGATGTAAGAAGGTTGATTTTGTATGTCTTTAACTGAACTAATTAATTTTCTGTTTATAAATTCAGAAACACCAGTGTGAACACGTGTATACCTTTGATGGATTGATGAATAAATTGATTGGATGAAATGTTTAGGAGATTAGCATCTGGGCTGTTGATCTCATCACTTCTGATATCTCTCTCAGCTGCTGATAATGGATTTTCCAATTGTAACTGTGACGAGGGGGGATTTTGGAGTACTGAGAACATTTTGGATATTCAGAAAGTCAGTGATTTTTTAATTGCAGTGGCCTACTTTTCTATTCCAATTGAGATCCTGTACTTTGTTAGCTGCACTAATGTCCCATTTAAGTTGGTGCTTCTTGAATTTGTTGCCTTCATCGTCCTGTGTGGGATGACTCATTTGCTCAATGGATGGACTTATGGCCCACACCCTTTCCAACTTATGCTTGCACTCACCATCTTTAAAACGCTCACAGCTCTGGTCTCAGTAGCTACTGCTATAACTCTAATCTCAATTATTCCCTTTCTGCTCAAAATCAAAGTCAGAGAAATCTTGTTGAGGAGAAAGACCTGGGATCTTGGTCGGCAAGTAGGAATGATAAAGAAGCAGAAAGAAGCTGGCCTGCATGTTCGGATGCTCACCCAAGAGATTCGCAAATCACTTGATCGGCATACAATATTAGACACAACTTTAGTTGAGCTTTCTAAGACACTGGATTTAGAAAATTGTGCTATCTGGATGCCTAATGATAATAAAACAGAAATGAATCTGATTCATGAGTCGATAAGGAGGAATTCTTCAGACATGAATGAGTTATGTATTCCAACCAGTGACCCTGATGTAAGAGAGATTAAAGGAAGTGATGGTGTGAAGATTCTTGAGTCTGACTCACCGCTTGCTGTTGCAAGCAGCGGAGGGAATGGTGAACCAGGAGCTGTTGCTGCAATCAGGATGCCAATGCTTAGAGTTTCCAATTTTAAGGGTGGCACTCCGGAGATGGTTCCTGCATGTTATGCAATTCTGGTTTTAGTTCTTCCTGGCAGTCAGGGCAGATCTTGGTCCATTCAGGAACTCGAGATAGTAAAGGTGGTTGCTGATCAGGTTGCGGTGGCTATTTCCCATGCTGCAGTGCTTGAAGAGTCTCAGCACATGAGAGAAAAGTTGGAGGAGCAAAACCGAGCATTGCAACAAGCAAAACAGGATGCTTTGTTGGCAAGCCAAACAAGGAATGCATTTCAGATGGTAATGAGCAGTGGACTGAGAAGACCAATGCACTCAATTTTAGGCTTACTCTCCATGATGCAAGAAGAGAACCTCAGTTCTGAGCAACAACTTTTGGTTGATGCTATGGTCAAGACGAGCAATGTGCTTTCAACCTTGATAAATGATGTGATGGATACTTCAACAAAAGACAATGGGAGATTCCCACTTGAGACAAAGTCTTTTTCACTTCATGCAATGATAAAAGTAGCTGCTTGTCTAGCCAAATGCCTATGCATGTACAAAGGTTTCAATTTTGCCATGGAAGTTGATAAATCCTTGCCTAATCATGTGATGGGGGATGAGAGAAGGGTTTTTCAGGTAATCTTCCACATGGTTGGGAGTCTTTTAAACAGCAGCAATGGAGGAGGTTGTCTGGTCTTTCGAGTTCTCTCAGCTAGTGGGAGTCAGGCAAGAAATCAAGGATGGGGACCTTGGAGATCAAGCTCATCTGATGGGTATACTTACATTAAATTTGATGTTGGGATATGCAAAGATGATTCAGATTTTGAGAGCATGCCTTCAACGGTATCACCGGGCCGTCAGAGATACAACAGTGGTATACCTGAGGAAGGCTTGAGTTTCAGTGTATGCAGAAAGCTAGTTCAGGTATGTTTTCAGCATTAGTGGGCAATGGCAGTATATGAGGAGCGTTCTGGTTGTAATTGGTCATAAGATCCTCACAAGTTATTCTTAGCTTTTCTCTCTCAAATTGCTATATATTCATCTTCATCAACCTTCCACAAATGCTACCAGTTTCTGAATTGGTTTCTGCTTTTAAGAAATTCTATTTAAAATAGATATCAGTGCAAGCTCCTAGTTCACAGACACAATATTGCTGAGAAGCAACTTTTCTTTAGTGAAATTATTTGTGGTTTTCTCTTTTCTTTCTTCATTCTTTTTTTTTTTTTGGGGGGGGGGGGGTGTTGGGGAGGGTGTGGTCTGTGGGTAGAGATGTGTCTTAAGCTAATCTTCTTTTAAGGATATGTTTTTCACCTTTCCATAACGGCTTCATGCACCTCCTAGTGAGTAGCTAGCCTGATAACTATGCCTATTTTTAGTAGATTATGGAAGTTTCTTTTGCGTTTGGCATTTACTGATTTCTTATCTTGTTTGGCTTTTAAATTCAATTTAGTTGATTCCTAAAGCTGATGTAGAGGGAACATTATACCTATAGAAAGCAGTCTGCTTTTAGCTGCTCATCGTTTGTCGTAATTATTCCTTAGATTCACTTCATTAAATGACTTTTGGATAGTTATGGTGGCAGCTAATGCAAGGAGATATATGGGTAGTCCCCAATTCGGAAGGTTTCAAGCATAGTTTGGCACTTATTCTTCGGTTTCAGAAACAGACATCGACTGTAGTCAGCATATCTGAACAAGGGCAGTCTTCAGATCATCGTTATTCCAACTCCTTCAGGGGCCTCAGAGTACTTTTAGCTGATGACGATGATATGAATAGGGCAGTTACTCGAAGGTTGCTTGAGAAACTAGGATGCAATGTTTCTGCAGTATCTTCAGGATATGAATGTCTTAGTGCTCTTGGGCCTGCTGTATCTGCAATCCAAATTGTTCTTGTGGATCTTCACATGCCTGACATGAATGGATTTGAAGTGACCATGAAAATTAGAAAGTTCTGCAGCCGCAACTGGCCATTGATCATTGCCCTAACAGCAAGTGATGATGAAGATAGGTGGGAGAAATGCTTTCAGGTTGGGATGAATGGAGTTATCCGAAAACCAGTTCTCTTGCAAGGAATTGCAGACGAACTTCGACGGGTCTTGCTACAAGCAAGCAGAGTTCCATAGTACCGGTATTGCACTTCTACAGCCTGTGATGCAGCCACTCCTGTTATGAGTGTATTGCTGTGGAATTTGGTCGAAGTAAGCAAACAAATTTGCTTCTATAGCAAAAATCAAGGGTACAGAGATGTTATACACAACATGCAATATAATTATGGTACAGAAAATTCATCTTCATTTTTCTTTCATACTTATTGGTAGCCTACTTAGTTGATGTTAGTTGGCTGATTGTATTTAACCCAGTGAAAGCCATGAGATATAAGTAGACTTTCAGATTGTAGAGATTTAATTTTTGCTAAAAAAGATTTTGTCACTAATATTCAGGCCTAAGGAAGTAATGGATGAGCAGAACACTACATTTTGTACCTACACATATCTACCTATTTAGAACCTAACTTTGAATCTTCCTTTAATTTGAATCTTCCTTTAATTGTGGATCTTTATATTATTCTTGATCACAATAAATTCAATACATTTCACAACACTGTTTGTGTTGATCAGAGTCATGAACTCAGTTCATTAGGCTGCCTCCGTTGGTCCAACCAATTGGTAGCTGTGATAGCTTACTTTAAGCTAGGCTAGACTTTTTGCTAAAGTAGTTGTTAATGCTTTGTACGAAATGTTGAATTTTGCCTGCAAGTTGAACCTAAAAATAGGCATACTTAGCACCAAACATTTGTTAAAGTAAATCTCAAGTCTAGTCATGGTATTCAGGCATTACATTTTTTCAACTGCTGCGATTGCAACTTGAGCATCTGTTGGTTATCTGTTTTATTCTAGCTCTCATCATGCTCCCACAGTGTCGAACCAGTATATCACACCATCACTGCAGACCCTTTATTATCTTATTCTTGCTATGCAATAATTCACTACAACGTATTGCATTTTGGGATTCTGGGATAGTCTCTGCACATTTTCTTGGATAACTTGCTCCCTCCACACGGCTGATCTTCACGTCTTATCTTGTTGTTGATATTGTCTGATACCATACCCATATCTTTCTCCATACTCCCTCAGGTATGCATCTTATCCAGCAGGAACCCATCATGTTATTGCTTCATCTACTGCACGTGCCTTGCATGTGTTTTCCATCTCGGGACACAATATGTATATCCTCCTCCTTTTTGTGTTGCTCTTATTGAAAGTGTGGCACGATTTTGAAGAATTGTGGTTCAAAAATATCTCCTCTTATAATTACTACTGTCAACTTTTGACACAATGTATAATATAACCATGCATGAATATGGCTACGTACATGGACAATTTCTATCTTTTTTGGTCGTGCACATGGTCCCCATCCCTCATCCCCCACACAAATCAAAACCCTTGAATGTTCCCTCTTAAGATATTTTGGTCATTCCATTAAATTATCTTGATAGTCTCACGGACTAGGTCAAATCTCATTCTTGGTTCATTATACCTGCAGAACAGTGACTTGATGCGTTTGGAATGTTGGTGACTATTTGACTCCACAAAAAATTTTTTTTTTTTTCCTTTTTCTTGGCCTCATTTTCTAGCATTGTGTCCGTGTCAATCAATTCATATACCCCCAGTGTCCATCAGGGGTATTAGGTGGTGGCTTATTTGGAATCATGGGTTAGAAAGCAGCAACCTAGGTGGTTGATGTATCTTAATTTCCTTTAATTCCTTTTTCTATCAGTGTCTGTCCTTTTCAGCTAATCCCACGGGGATGTCAAGCTGGCTTGGCTGATCACATATGAAATTTGATCCTATGCTGCTGTATCCAACCCTGCAACCCTTTATTCTTCACCACTAGATGGTCAAAGTTTTGAGAGCATGGGAGATCACGCCTGCTTTCTTGTCAAAATACTTAGATTAGCAAGAAGGTGTTCAAAGGACAGGATTTCTTGCAGAAACCAGTTGTTTAGCAGATAAATAACCGTGTATTGGGTGATGCAAGCAATGAGGAGATCGTTCCAAAACTATTCAAGGATTCGATTAAGACTTGACCTCAAAGAAAATGACTTGGATTTTAATTAAAGGGATGACTATAAGGTAATGATTTGTTATCTGGCAAGAGGACCAAGAAAATCCACTTACTTGTACAGGTGAAAGTTTTGTGCCAAGGGGTCTGTATGTTGATTTTTTTAAAGCTAGTAGATAAACTATTGCAGTCTTTTCACGGCATGGAATTGCATGAAAGGAATCTCAGAAATTTCTCCAATTCATAAACAAAAGCAACTTGAGAAGACTAGAGGGCCTGCATACTTTGAATCCTATCCCGCCTCAAATTCTCATTATTATTCAACTTGACAAGTTAGCTTTCGACAAGAAAAATATAATTGCTTTGTTTGGATTGTATTTTTCTGAATTTTTTTGTAGAAAAATTGCGATTTGATATATACGAGGAAAAATGTGTCCACAAAAAAATTGCAATCCAAACACATCACAGTTTTTTTTTTCTCTACTCCACTATGAAAACGGCAAGACTTGCCCTCCTTAGATTTTTTTTTTGGGGGGGGGGGGGGGGGTTCTAATTATTGTTTATATTTAAAAATGAAATCCAAGAAATATGTGGTGTGATAATTAGTGACAGGTCAACTAGTGAGGAACGGTTTGCAGTAAAAGTTTAATGATCTAAATCTATAAGATATATTAAAGAACTTTTAGGTATCCAAAAGACTACCTGAATTTATTAATCAGAGGTTGCTTTAAACAGAGTAGTTTGGTTTCTGAACTCAATGCGCTTTGAGCAGACAAAACAAGCAAGAATTTGCTTAGTTAAGTAAACTACCTTTTGGATATTAGTGCCCCCATATGGCTTTAATTATACCAGTACTAATTGGTTAACCTATTTTGACTTGCATAATTATTACTGAAGCCTAGCTAGATCCTCGGCATTACTTGATAAAATAGCAATGACTGGATCGTGTAAGCGCTAATTTGGTTCGATTGTTTAATAATATATTATTAAGATTAAGAAGAATGGTAGGTTCTGGTAAAGTCCTAACGAGATTCCGCTACCTTTGTTTAATTAATATTCAGGTGTCCGGTGTTTCGTTTTTATTTGCTCGAAATTTTTCAACCATTTTCTCTCTCACACTGTCTGATTTTTTGTGTGATTAATCTTCACCATGTATTTAATTCACACGATTCGTGGCCACTTCTCGAGGAATAATGACAGACCAAGAGGCTCGACTAGATTAAAAAAATTTTTTTTTTTTTGTAGATGAAGAGATATCAAAGGGGTTTCTTTCTTTCCGAACGGATCCTCCTACATCTATCTACATATAAATGCTCGTTTATCAAGAATTATATGGATTACTTTGCAAGAAAAGCAGATAAATAAATTGTCCTAATAGGGATATTAGTCAGGTAACCGCGAACTTTTTTTTAATATAAATTTTAGAGTGTCTTTTGAGATAATTAAATAAAATAAAAAATTAACGATAGTATTATTATTTTTAGAACTCTAAATATTGTTATTGGCTCTTCTACTGCCACCCGTTTTTTAATAAATAGATGACACTGAACTCAAAATCATCTACTTACAATCACTCTCGCCTTACCACCTAACTCAGCCCTCCCCCTCCACCAGTGCCACTCACTCGCTCCAACAGATTAAAGTACGTTTTCCCATAAATCTCATCCACTCCCAATTGGGCATCTTCGGACTTTGCCCATTATCTCCCTATTGCAAATGGGAGTGAAATTTATGGACAAGGATACTTTTATCTGTTTGTGAAATTAATAGTAGAGAGAGTGGTTTTGGCTTTCATTCATTTATCAAACAGGCTATTCATGAGTAATGTTCCTAGAACTCGGTTTCTTTTTTTTTTTTTCCTATGAATTGCAGATCTAATAGGAAGCATCATAGGTTCAATTTTAAGTCTATCAGTTTATAATATTATAGTCGCACATCTTTCATTTGGAGCACAGCTTAATTCTGTTTTGTTGGAAAAATTTCAGGAGATATGCTCCCCTAGAAATGTTGTATTGAACAAGTTGACTAATTACTCTATGCTAGATCTATATTTTACCAAAAGAAAAACTAAACAAAGATTTATGAAAAAAAATATTTTTCTTCAGGTGCTCATTGAACACTCGTTAATATATCTAAATTCGACCTAATCTATCTTATATATACACATACTAAACTTACCTTTTTAAAAATTTAGCACCTGATAGAATTTAACCTATTACATACTAAACTTACATTTCTAATAATTTAATGCCTAAAGTACATCTCACTCATTAGACAGAAAAAGGAAAAAAAAACGTCGGGAATTTATTTTTCTTTTCTCTTTCGGGCCAGTAATGTCTTTAAGGTGCAATGGGTGAGTTGGGTTGGGCCTATGGCAGCAGTTCAGGAGACTGAAACGTTGTGCGACATATTCCGTGCTCAGATCTCCATTATCAGTGTTATGTTCCAAGCACGGAAAAAAAGATGGAATGGACTGAAGTGCATGATCCAGAATTCAGATGATAAAGCCCAATCCAAATTCGGTCCTCAGCGAATGTAACCTCCTACGGCCCATCACTTGAAGCTAAACTTATGAAATAACCTCGCCTTTCTTTTCTCCTTGTAAGGTTGGAGTCTGCCACAGTAAAAGATATTAACCTCTAGTTTGATCAACTAATTGCAAGACTAATACGAAGTAGGACATTTGATCCATTCTTAAGTTTCGATCGATTCGACCCTTTTCACTTTCTTTTCCTTTTCGCACTTAATATCTTTCTTTGGTTACATTTGGTTCTAACACGCTATCGATCACCAAATCGTGTTTTTTTTGCCTCCCCTGCTACAAGAATACAAAAAAATATGGGTGGGTAAGCCAATCGGTTACAAAGTCAAATGCTTATCAACTAGGCTGAACTTTATTGTCGACACGTTAATATCATGTTTAAAATTGTAAATGCATGTATCTATAACTTTCAATTATGCATTGCATGCTTTTTAAGTGATTGATGAAGTAGGTTAATGCCAAAAAATCCTTAAAACAAGGGAGAAAGAAAGAGTAAAAAATGTGATATGCCCTGTCATCTCAGATATTGGAGGTCACAAAATAATATTAGTATAGTATTAGAACAATACTAGTCCATGATTGTTGTGGGGCAAGGCAACACTGTCCATTGGGCTTCACTCATCAACCTGACGAAGATGGAATATATTCAAGAAAAAATAAAATAAAATTTCAATAAATAAATAATTAAAAGAAAAAAAAAGAGGACCCTCTTTTGATTATTGTTTGGCTTGTGTGTTCCCATTTTTGTCCCTTTGGACATGCAATTTTCAGAACGATACAAGAGGTATAACAAAAGAGAGGAAAACATAACGAGAAAAAAGATTAATGATTTAATGGTCCACCGCCTTGAACGTTGTTGCATATTTTTCATGATCAAGATGTTTATAACCCCCCATCCACATATTCAACCGAGGTACCCCAGTTTTTCAAGCATTGAATTTATTCTCATTTACTGATTATTTTCTGCAGCTGCATTTGCACTGGAATATTTAAGTACTTTTTTCGTACTATCTCTAAACATGTTCCTTTTTTTTTAAAAATCTTTTCAATCACATTTTAATTTTACATAAATTATATTACATTACAAAAAGTACTACAACGCATAATAAAAATTTTCAAATAATCTTCAATCCAAGATCACTTTTAATTGGTGTGAAGTTTTTGGCCATTTACATCGAATTCAGTAACTGAACAGATTCAAACTTTTTTAGATGTCATGTATTGAACATAGTTCCCATACACGGTGAAATTTGTCAATCTACACCATACTTTTTTGTAATTTTCACACCTAGTTAGCAAGAAGATATACATATGTATGGATACCTACTTCTCCAACTTCGGGCTACCCATTGGTTTAAGCATTAGTCAATTAATGCATGATTTACGTTGAAAACGACCTTTTCCAACTGGAGAAAAATTAACAGACAGATGATGTCCAGGTCAATAAATGAATAAATCATTAGCAACTTGTATGTAATAATGGTTGTATGTGAAGAAAATGATGATTGAGTTTGACTCCAACCTTCAATTGGCAACTTATTTGTTAGGGATACAAGTAAGTTCGATACCTTGGAGCTAGAGGACATACGACCATCTTGCCGTACCAAATAAGGTTAGTATATATATATATATATATATATATATATATATATATATATATATATATATATATATAATTTAGAAGTTTCTTCAAAAAAGAATTTCCATGTAACCATAACAGCTGAGTTCACACTAGAATTCATATTTATTTCCTTTTTTTTTTCTTACATTGTTTCACTATCTTACAAAAGATAAATGGGTCGTGTATGAAATTAATGGAGATTTTGAAAATGAATTTTTTTTTAATGAAATGAGAAATGGTTTACTACTAACTTACCAAATAAAGAAGAAATGGTTCACTGACCTCTTTCTTTAGGGCATACATAAAATCTTGCAGAGAAAATATTAGCACTGCATTAGGGAATGGTTTTTCCAAAGGAGTATAGAAAATTTCCTTTGAAGAATGTCCGATTTGGGTAGACCTGATTTACCCAAGCGTTTCCCTACCTAAAAGGGACTGATTCAATACGTTTTTATTTCATGCAAATATTATTATATTGGTCCTTATTGTACCCCTCATTTTTCCATATATATCCATTGTAAACTGCTTAGTTTGGACTTAAAACATTAGTGAGTGATATTGGGGAATTTGATTTATTTTCCCGTGGAGAAACTGTATGTTTCTCTTTCATGAAAAAGGCCAGATTGCACAGGGGGAAGGGGGAGAGAGATGGCGGGGAAGAGCGGAGGAGAGGAGGAGAGGGAGAAGAGAAAAAAAAACTTACCTCTATCGGCGCGAGAGATGGTGGTGGGTTGATGTGGGGGCAACAAACACTAAAAATTTACCTGCTACATTGGGTTCAAGAAATAGGTGTCTCTAATTTTAAGGAAAAGAAAGTTTTATTAGCCATTATGATATTAAAAGCTAAGTTTTAAAACTTTGTGGACCAGTAATATTAGAGGAGGAATTGATTTGCCTTCTGACGGAGGAATTGTGTGTTTCTTTTTCACAAAAGGAGGAATGTATGTGTTGTTGTAATAACTAAAAAATGTGATGGAAAATTGCAACCGCGAGCACCAGTGGTCTAGTGGTAGAATAGTACCCTGCCACGGTACAGACCCGGGTTCGATTCCCGGCTGGTGCATGAGTTTTTCCTTTTTCAGCTCATTTCTTTCAGAATTAAGTTTTTCTTTTTTTTA